TGGTAACCGGATATTTTTCAGTGTTCCTCAAATAAAGGAAACAACATTTTTATTCCTTAAACAATTGTCGTGAGTTTTTTCAACATCAAGCACCTAGTCATTAAAACCCAATGAGCTGACCTAAACAAAATCTGTGATTTCCCATTGCAACACTACAATGTAAAGCTTAGAAGCAAGGTTTACGTTTACAGACTGTAAATTCTCACCACTGTATCGAGAGCAACGAAAATTTTCTCTCAGGGATTCCTTTTTACAAAAGATTACATTGTACCTGTTTAAAGGGAGTTTATTTCAATTTTCACCTTTCAGGAGGCCGTTTCATCGGAGGTGGCGGATTAATTGAGGAAGTGCTTTATTTGCCTAAGTGCTCGGGAAGAAATACTATTCTCAAAGGGTTTAAATCGCAATATTTTTAGCGGCTGTTAGCTTTGATTACAAGTCCAGTCAAAACTCAAAACATACTATTGTAATCATCCATTTCGTAACTGATAAAATATTCAAAAAAGCCCCGACTAAATAATGACTTCTTTCGGCTTTCTCGAACTTTCGTTTTGTCAGTCTACCATTCAAACCATTTTTAAGGTGAATTGCCCCAAGAAAACGGCGCTAAAAAATTAAACTAAGTACCGTCGTAATAAATTGAACGCATGGCTGTTGTCAATCTGGATTTTCACCGCTTCAAGAGCGATCTCCAAAGGAGATTACTCACACGCTATTTCGACGGTGTTTTGTTTATGCTGCGAAAAATCCTCTCATTTCGGAAGTAGTAAGGCAGCTTATGGCTGTAGGTGGCGTTTGCTAATGCCCTTTCAAACAGAATTAGGAATGAATGCAAACAGCAGGTCTGAATGTTATAGACCTGCGATAGCATTTACTCGATGTATTAACGTGACCCCATTCGAAGCTATCAATTATTTTAAAACGTATAATTTAAACGCAGGGTTCCATGCCGAACATAAATAAAACTGAAACCTGTTGTGATGTCCTTTATAGTTCAGTTTTGTTTACAAAGTTCTCAAAAATGAATTGCAACTCTAATGAGTCAAAAGAACCGATAAAAAGCATTTATATCGTGACTAAAGCTTGTAAATAAACTATAAACCGCACTACCAACCACG